AATGAGGACTTCTTTAAGGATGAAACTGAATTGATTGAATTAGACTCCTTACATAACTTAAACTCTAATTTAGGAGATTTAGAACCTTTAAACACTAATACCTTAGCCCATCTTGATCATAATCACATCAAAGATATCCCTTTGGATAAGGTCTGTCTGGATAATATTAATTTGATATCAAAAGAAATGGATCTGACCTTGAGTACATTGAAATTAAATTTGGAAGATTATGATTTAATTATATCTCCTACTGAGTTGACTTCAAATAATTCTGATTTAATTTTGAATAATTCTTATGGTGATATGGATAATCTCGAGTTAGAAGTGATTCAATTGAATTTACTACGTGATTTAAATCCCGATTTAATTGACCCTGAATCTGAATGATTTTGAGCCTAATTTTAAAAACGAGCATCCTTTTATTTTATTAGAGTCTATTTTAGGAGTTGCTTCTTTAGATTTATATTTGAAAGAGTGTGTCTTTCTTGATTGGACTTTTCTCTCCATTTCTTGTACCGACTTTATTCTTTGAGAGAGTATTAGCCCATACTTTCATGTCACATCTCTAACTATTGTACCAACATATGTTCTAGACACTCTATCCCATTTTTTGAGTTCCATACCCGCTGGTGACTCTTTGGGCTGTCCAATTATGATTGTGAGTTAAGTCCCATCATCTTATCATATTCCAGATTCCTCCATTATACCCTCTATATTCTTGTCCTTCCTTGTTAAGGACCATCCCTATCCTATTTGGATAAATTTGTTGGATTACCCTGCTGCCCTAAGAGACTATCTATGACCCTAGCTGAAACTCCTTATGGAAATGCCCTTTTAGCTAAGGATGTCTTCATTGCTCCTCCTACACCGGTTCTCTTAAACATGAAAAATTTATGTCCTCTCATTTTTTGAATGATCCATCTTTATTCCTATCTATGTATGCTTATGAATCCGTATGTTTGTCTGTATTTTTTTAAGTCTATTTTCTTCCAAAATTTTCCTCGGTTTAAAACTTTTGTGTATGCCCACAATTCATGCCAATCGTCATGCACAAAGTTTCTTGCACCACATTATTCTAATATTATTTATCTTATTAAGTCTTGACTTTTGGACACATGAATTTCCATAAAATATGATCGCATATGCATCTCATCTCCAAGAATTGCACAATGAAATAAATAAAAGAATTAAACAAATCAATGATAATTATAAGCTTAATGCTGATCACAACAAAAGAATTAAAGAATTTAAAGTTGGTGATTTTGTGATAGTGCAGATTCGTCTGGAGCGGTTCGCCAAAGGAGCCGTTAAAAAGTTGCATTCTTGAAGCATGGGACCTTTTAAAATAATCTCCAAAATAATAAGTAATGCTTATGTGCTAGACCTTCCAAAAGATTTCAACATTAATCCTATGTTTAAATTGAAGATCTTGTAGCCTTTGAGGGACCAGAGTTTAACCCTACCAATCCATTATATAATGAGCCTTGTGTAAGCCCACCCAGTGAGAACCCCAACCTACCTCCACTTCCCAATTTGCCATATTTACTTAATGCGGAAAAGATTGAAGCAATACTTGATGATGAAATCATATCCACTAAAGAAGGTGGACACCAAAGATACTTAGTCCATTGGAATGGGTAACCAGAGACAGAGGATACATGAATTGATTGGGAGGAGCTACAGAGATTGGATCCAGACCTTTTAGAGCTCTATGAGAGTTCTCGAGACACCAACTCGACAGAGTCAAGTTTTCTCCCACCTGGGGAGAATGATAAGGACATCAATAGGAGATTATGGCGCATTTATCAAAGGAGGCATCAGAGATCAATGGCTACAATCAGGAGTCTATATATTTGACACATTTTATGTATTAGTTTATTTTTATTTCAATTTTTACTATTTAACCCGTATGGGTGGCTATTTGAAGTTATAGCCCTATGGGCATTTTAGTCATTGATTTTTTTTTATGTTGAGGCCTATATATAGGTCTTCTCTATTGTATTTGGATAATAATGATTAATTTTTTTTTTTTAAGATTTTTGTCTCCTACATTTTGGAGTTCTAGAGAGAGCAGTGAAGCCTTGAAGAGGCCAACAAAGTACCCAACAACCCACTAACGAGTGAGCTCTTGGTTTTTAATTTTTATTTTCTCCTTCCCTTTCTCCTCCCATACCCGCTGGCTGACCTCTCCCTCTCCTCCCAAACTGATAGCCCTCACACCCCCTACCCATCTCTCCTAACCAATGACACCATCTCCCCTCCCCCTTCCCACCATATGTTGGCTTCCAACACCCAGCCCAAGTTAATCGAAAACCTGCCAGGCTCCCAACATCTGCCAGCCCCTTTCCCCACCACCTAAAGCCGTTGGCCAGATCCTTCTCCCCCACTATAGCCATTGGCCCCATAATTCCCTCCAAAAACATTTGAATTCGAATCCACCTTAAATACTTTTTTTAATTTAGCCCCACTAATTTAGGGAGAGAATTAAATTCAAATTCAAAATATTTGAATTTCAAACTCTTCTTAAATCCCCCTCCTTCAATTTAGGAAAACCACAACTAACTTAAATCTGAAATTAATTTCAAATTTAAGTAATCAATCCCCTTAATTGCTTAGGCCCACCTCCTTAATACCTAACCCCTCTCTCCCCCTTCTCTCCTTGGCCAGCCACTCCCCCTCCCCTCTCTAATTAATTATATCCCATGAATTAAGGATCTACTTAATACAACCCTCTCCCCACTTTCCCTCATAATTTTTTAATTATTTCAAATTCAAATTTTAAATAAACATAGCCCTAATTACCCATTAAATATGAAATTAATTTTAAATTTAATCTTAATCTTCCTCCACCACCAAAATCTAGAATTCAAGTCCCATCCTCATTCCCCTTCCCCACCCCCATTGTTTGGTTGAACCTCTACTCGCCCCCCTCCTCTCTCACTCTCAATTATTCCTCTTTGGACAATCACGCATTGCTAACCCGGACGTTGACCCTGGGTTTGTCTTTGACTCCCAAGGGACGTAGATGTCTTGAGATCGCTGTTCTTTGACATCAACATGGAGATCGACACAATAGTTGAAGAGTACGTGGATTGAATACTATTTTCTCTATCAACCACCATCGATGACTTCAACCTTCCAATTCGATGGCAAATCCTACATCCTCCACCTACTCTGGCTAGCTTTCTCTTAGACGATATTGTAAGCTCCCCCCTCCTTGTGGTGACCACATCGGTAATGCTGATATCTTTCTTCTGCAAATCCTAAAGAGAGATTGAGTGAGGTCAAGGTGAATTATCTAAGTATTAACTTGTGAATTTTTGTTAAGCACACTTGATTATATATATATTTGTTATTATTTTGAATTGTCCTGTCTTCAAAGCATGTAATATTGCCTAAGCAATTTTGCAACTAAGAATTCCTAAATCTATAATCGTGAAACATTAATCTTTATATTGGCTACTCAAGTAATTATTTTATTATTTATAAGTAATTCTAATTCCGTTTCACATCAAGCACTCTAAAAAAATAAAGATTTTTATTTTTATCAGCGTATTACTAAAACTAAATTTAGAGATGCTATAAAGAAAATAAAGTGTGAGAAAAACATTGGACCTGAAGATATTCCAATAGAGATGTGAAAATGCTTAGGAGATGAAGGAATTTCTTGCTTTACTAAACTTTTTAATACTATTTTGAAGACTAAAAAGATGCCATATGTGTGGAGAATGAGTGTGTTGATTCATATCTTTAAAAATAAAGGTGATGCATAAGATTGTGCCAATTATAGAGGAATTAAGTTGATTTGTCATACTTTAAAACTATGGGAGAGAGTTATGGAGCATAGGTTACAACGCGATATTGATGTATCTCAAAATCAATTTAGATTCATGCCAGGTAGGGCTACTATGGAAGTATTTAAAGGATTGATGGAGAAGTATAGAGAGAATAAGGAGGATCTTCATATGATATTTATTGATTTAGAGAAAACATATGATAAAGTTCCAACAGAAGTACTATGGAGAGTTCTAAAAAAGAAAGGGGTTTTGTGTTCAAACACAAGGTGGTTTGACCAAGTATTTTCCAATTTAAGTTGAATTACATCAAGGATCAGCCTTAAGCACATATCTTTTGCTTTAGTCTTGGATGTTTTTATTAGAGATTTGCAAAAGGATGTTCCCTGGTCTATGCTTTTGCTGGCAATATTCCTCTTGTTGATAAAACTAAATAGGGAGTTGAAGGTAAACTTGAATTATGGAGGTCAATCTTAGAGTCTAAAGGTTTTCATTTGAGTAGATCTAAAACCTAATAAATGGAATATAATTTTAGTAGTAAAAGATCTAGTGGGGGGTTTGTGACTTTGAGTAATCAAATCATTAATAAGAGTATACGTTTTAGATATCTTGAGTCTATTGTTCAGAGTGATAGAAAAGTACTACTCAAACTTAAGGGAAAATTCTATAAGATGATGGTTAGACTTGCAATGCTTTATGGCACAGAATATTTGCCCTTAAAAGAGAAGCATAATATTAAGTTAAGATTTTTAGAGACGAGGATACTCAGGTGGATGAGTGACTTTAGTCTTAGAGATAGGATATAAAACAAGCATATACGTGAAAAGGTTGGGGTAGCTTCAGTGGCAGATAAGATTAGAGAGAGTTACCTTAGATATTTTGGTAATATAAAACGGCGGCCTTCTGATGACTCTGTTAGAAAAGTATATGCATTAGATTTAACCTATGTTAAGAAAGATAGAGACAGACCTAAAAAGACTTGATTAGAAAATATCAGAAATAATATTTCTTTATTAGATCTAAATGAGAATTTTACTCATAACAGAAGACAATGGAGAAAAAATATTCATATAGTCCACCCCATATAATGTGATAAAGGCTTGATATTATTGTTGTTGTTATAATCTCTCTCTCTATATTAGTTAAATAATTTATTTTAATTTTTAATTAGTAGTTATTTAATTAATCTAGGGTTTTGCATTTTATCTTTCCCATTTCCTCGTTACTGTTGCTTTTGCTCGTCGCCATTTCTCCGTGTCTGCTTCGGCCTCGCGTACTTCGCATAAACTTTGAAGACATGGCGCGAAATAGTGCGTTCAAAGAGTCGCCCAAGAAGCTCCTTCGCCTCTTTTGACGACGTCGGATCGGAAGTCCCGACGGGAGCCGCTCGCTGCGAAGGTAACTATCTTTATCCTTTTCGCGCGCTTCTTCGGCCAAATCGTCATAGAGTAAATCCGGGATTTACGGAAAAAAAAAGAGAGGGAAATGGAGGATTTATTCCGTCGTGAGATTTAGCGGGCGCTCAAATCCCGTTTGGCAGGATTTAGCATAAATCCTGTTGCCAAACAGACACTCAGTGTGAAGTAGAGTTCCTAAAGAGTCGCTAATGGAAGCTGCTATGCCCCATTGACAACGTCGTTTCTGTCGAGTTCGAAGTCACGACGGGAGCTTGCCGCGAATTTAACGATCTCTCACCCCTTTCGCTCGCCTCTTCGGCTAAATCCCGTAAATTCGCCTAATTATCGGTTTTGCTAAATCCGGGATTTAGAGTAAAAATATCCTTCTAATGTTGTTTGTATTGGAGCTTGATTACAATCGTATGATTATTTGTGACTCAAGATGGATCAAGATTTATTCTAAGAAGAATATACAGAGGGGTGGGGTGGGATAGGTGGGGGGTTTGTGTTAACTTTTGATTAGAGTACAGGGATGGAGATAAGCGGAGAGAAATGGAGAGAACATGAAGGGAAGAAAAGGCTAAAGTCGGGCAAGTTAGGGGCTACTGGATCCGCTTCAAAAGAGAACTGAACAGGCTAGATAACAACTCTCTTAATATATACAAGTTCTTAGTGCGTAGGATGATATATTGGTGTGCATTAACTATGTTAAGTTATTAAATCTATGTAACTTATTACATGTTATATGCTAAATAATAACTCTCTTAATATATACAAGTTATATTAATGATTTGGAAACTAGTGTTCAGGTTATTTATCAAAAAGCATAAAGAGAAAATAAATATTCTACATGCAGCTTTTATTGAACTTGAGAAAGCATATGATTTAGTACTATTTGAATTAATTTGTGGTGCATTAAGGAAAATTTGTGCAAAATGTATGTTGAAGTTATTGAAGATATGTAAGACACTTTGACTAGCCCTAGTTGTTGTAGAGTTTAAAAGGTTTTTTATCATAGTAGATTTAATTAAGAATCAACTTGGAGTTTGTTCCTTTTTTATTTAGTTATGAAGATGCTTGTAAATAATTTTTAAAGCGAGGCATCATAGTCTATATCATTCGTAAATTTTAGTTCTTGTTGGTGAGATCTCCGCAAGCACAAGTTGAAAGTTAGGACAATGAAAGAATTTTTTATTATAGGGCTTATGATTAATGGTGCAAAGGTTGAGTATATTTCATAAACTTAAAAAATGCTTGTCTTATCAAATTACCTATCAAACTATGGAAATATTTAACAAAAAAAATAATATGAGCTTTTAGCGGATGTGAAATTGATAAATTATGATTATATCTTTAGAGGAACTATATTGTTGATAAGTTTAAGCATAATTGATTTGTTATATGGATAAATGAGGATGCATTAGATGATTTAATTTTTGGAGTTAATTCGTGGTAGTTTAAATGTAGGCATACGATTCTGAAAGAGAATATGGTGGAGGCTTGAATGTAAATTTTATAAACCTTCAAGTAAATGGCTATGCTATATATAATTATTGGCAATTAAGAACTCACTTATGGCCAAGTTGAGAAGAAATGTGAATGTTAAGATGGAATGAGGTAAAGCTTGGAAGGATTGTTGAGAAACAATTGCATGAGAGGCATCACAGTAGCAACCATTGAAGAGCATTGAAGATAACATATTGAAAATTGACTTAGGTAGTTTAGACATGTACAATAAAGAAAAGAGTATGCAACAATAATAACAACAACAATCCTTTATTCCACTACATGGGGTCGGGTACATGAATCTTTTTTTCCCGTTGTGTTCGATTAAGAGTTAAATTCTTATTTAAATATGATTACAAAAGGTTATTTAAAATTGACTTAGGTTGTTTAGATATATATAATAAAGAATAGAGGATGCCATGATAACAACAAGACTTTATTCCACGATGTGAGGTCGGTTACGTGAATATATGTTCTCCATTGTGTTCAATTAAGAGTTAAATTCTCTTTTAAATATACTAAAAATTATTTTTAATATTTTCTAATCAAGTCTTTTTAGGTCTATCTCGACATTTCTTAACATAGGACGTATCTAATACATCTATTCTCCTAACAGTGTCATCAGAAGGCTGACGTTTTTTTGTGACCAAACCATTTAAGATGATTCTCTTTAATCTTATCTGCCCCTAGAGCTACTCCAAACTTTTGGTGTGGTTGCAGTTTTTCATAAAGGTAATTATAAAAGTATCGTGGACACCGTAATCTTTTGGTTGGTGAAATAGTTGGAAAGCAGCTTTTTTCAGCCACTATTCTCAAGTGAAAATGCTTGTAAAATGTAGTTTTCCATCTCAAAAATTTTTAAAAGATGGTAGATAAATATAAATGTTCTAGCAGTCTAAAAAACAAACTTGTGATAAAGCTGCCCCAATCATACCTTGAAATTAGTAAGGATAGAGCTTGTGCAAAATAGATTCATGCAAAATAAATCTAATATTTCAAGTAGTACTAAAAAAGTAATAATAAATAATTGAGCATTAGGATCCATAAAGAAGACCCCAAATATGGCTAAGAATAGACATTATTGCTTGGATGTAGGATATGAAATGGATGGAAGTTAGCTTAATATAAACCAACCTAAAGAATATAGATTCTGATTTCTTAATTTTAAGCTTAGGGCTGATAGTTAAAGTCAAAACCTTTTCTTTTCATATGTTCTTATTCACATGGGTACTAATACATCAAATTTCTATTTGCATGAGGCTTATGAATTTTGGCATTTTGGTTATTTTGTTGGTTTTTGGTTGAGTAAACATAAGTTACGTGATAGACCGGTCCCTCCTGGACTGGCCTTCACATACAAATAGGTGGAACAAGAGTTCCAACCCCGCCCGAGTGGAAATCCCGACTGCATGAAGTGTCGCCTCTTTTGGGGTGGGGCTTAAGAGGATTTTGCAAAGGGAAGATGGGGGTGGCTAGGAGGGAAAATTCAAATAGAGGGCTATTTTGGGTATTTGCTGAACATTGTATGCTTTAAGTAGTTTCTTCTCATAGGGTTAAGGTTATGTCTTGCTTGCTGAATTTAGATTGTTCTTAGGTTGATTGGGCTCTAGCTGGCGGCTATGGATTTGGGAGAGTCGGATCTTCTTCTCCAATTGAAGATCCATTGTATCTTGTTTGTTTTCCTTCCATACATCATCAATTAAAAAGGTTTTCTTTGTTAGTCCTCATAATTCTTCTTGTAGATTATGCTTGGGATTTCTGAAATTACAATTCAACCAAGGATTCTTTGATTTCTGCAAATACTTCCTATCAGTATGATACTTGTATATCCATATACCATATATATTCAATTTGTGGATACTAAGGATACTTTCTTAAAGCATCCCACTGTTTTTTGGAATATGATTCACATTACATGTTATATAAAGTTTTAATTACAATTTAATTGGTTACTTAATCCCTCTTGTGTCTTCCTATTGGACAGCTAGAATAGCAGATGGAGGTTAAGGATTCAATAGATGATATCCCAGTTCAAGATCCTCCAGATGAAGAGTTCTCGGCAGCTGATCTAACATGGACAAAATTTGGGACTACGGAGCATCATATTGTTGATGTAGCTCTTATACCTTATGACCGAGTGGAGGTCTTTATAAGTGGGGAAAGTTCTAATGCAGAGTGTCCCACAAGATTTCACATAGCAAGGAGTAGGAAAAGAGAGGTGGATGGGCTGAAAAACTACAAAAGTGACGAATACCTGCAACATAGGCTGTGAGTTATTTCTTTTAGTGCTATATATGTGCTGTTTATTTTGTGTGACATACTCTTTTATGGCTTTCTAATAATGTTCCTTGTAGTTATTGGTGTTCTTTTGGCCCAGAGAATTATGGAGCGGGAGGAACCATTTTACCAAGCCGAAAATACAGGCTCAATACACGTAACCGTGCTGCTCGACCACAATCCATGCGTGGCTGCACTTGTCGTTTTGCAGTCAAACGTCTGTATGCTAGACCTTCACTTGCGCTAATAATTTATCATGAGAGGCGGCATGTTAACAAGTCTGGGTTCATATGTCATGGACCGCTTGACAGAGATGCTATTGGCCCTAGAGCCAAGAGAATTCCTTACATATGTAGCGAAATACAACAGCAGACAATGTCCTTAATCTATCTTGGTATCCCAGAGGAGAATGTTTTGAAAACACATCTGGAAGGAATCCAGCGGTATTGTGGTTCAGATGCTAGAGTTAACAATTTTGCATCACAATATGTCCAAAAGTTGGGCATGATTGTTAAAAGGTCTACTCATGAATTAGACTTGGATGATCAAGCTAGCATGCGAATTTGGGCTGAAAGGAATAAGAAGTCTGTGTTCTTTTATCAGGACTCTTCAGATACAGATCCTTTCATTTTAGGAATTCAAACAGAATGGCAACTGCAACAAATGATTCGGTTCAGTCATCATAGCCTTCTTGCATGTGATTCCTCATTTGGCATTCACAAGCTCAAGGTATCTGCGTCAATCCCATTTTTTCTAAAGATGTAACACTTTCTTGCTTTTGGTTTCTCTACGTACATCTTGAACGATATTTAATAGGGCAGATGTAATAATTGTTTCTGTTTCTGTATATTTTTCAGTATCCGTTGTATACACTCCTTGCATTTGACTCGAGACATCATGCTCTTCCAGTTGCATGGGTCATTACTCGAACTATAACAAAGCAGGATGTTTCTAAATGGATGAAAGCACTTGTAGATAGAATTTATACCGTTGACTTGACTTGGAAGATCATTGGTTTTATAATTGATGACCCAGCCATAGAGTTTGAAACAATCAGGTAAGTTTTTTTGCTTCTTTTTTTGTTTTGTTTTACTATTATTGCAAACCACTTCTTAATCTTGTTGGCTGTCTTTAGAGATATATTTAGCTGTCCAATGCTTTTCTCCTTGTGGCGTGTCCGCCGATCATGGCTTAAGAATGTCATCAACAAATGCAGTAACATAGAAGTCCAACGGGAGATGTTCAAATGTCTGGGGAAAATTATTTACAGCATCTGGAATGGAACAAACTACATGATTGCCCTTGAAGAACTACTAAAGGATTTTGTTGATCAAACTGCATTCATGAAGTATTTCAAATCATGTTGGGTGCCAAAGATTGGTAATAATCCATTACCTTTATCAGTTTTAATTATTTTTTGTCTTCTACATCTATGTGGAAAATTGGGAGAAAGGTGAATTCTATGTAAACTCAGAACAAAACAGACAGCAAATAGAAAAGAAAATCATCCATAAAAAACACATTATGTGGCTTCACTCAACTATTGACTACGTCTTGTTTCCACCGCTACAGATTTTACTATTAATTGAGGAGAACTACAGCCTAATTTTTTAGATGCAAAAAAAAAACATCACCCCCATCGGCCCATCCTTTAGAAAAAAATTAGGACTGCTGAAGTATAATAAAATTATCAAAACATCCTTAATGATATAATTGCAAATATTAGATAACTTTCTCCGGGATGCTTTTTTGGGGCAGAAGTTAGGCTCCATCTTTTTCATCCATGCGGAACTCATTCATTACTTTTCTTACTAGAGATGTGGCTTATGGCTATGAAGAGTCTTCCACTGGCCAGCCAGGAATCATGTGGAGCCATTGAGGCTTATCATGTCAAACTGAAGCTCAAAATATATGAGGATTCACAACTCGATGCGCTTGAACGTGTGGACTGGTTAGTACACAAGCTTACAATGGAGATACATTCTGGTTACTGGCTTGATGTTTATGCAGATGAAAGCGGATCTTTCCCTGCTGTAAAAGAAGAGTATATCTCTTCCACATCATGGCACAGGGCATTGCAGATTCCTGATGATTCTGTTATATTTGATGATAAAGATCGCCTCTTTGCAAAGGTTGTTAGTCAGAAGGATAACAATCTCACACGCATGGTGTGGAATCCGGGCTCAGAATTTGCCTTTTGTGATTGTTCGTGGTCTATTGAAGGGAATATTTGCAAGCATGTGATAAAGGTCAACATGCTTTGCGAAAGTAAAGAGGATTATCCTCCATCATTATCACACCAAGCATTTCAGCAACTTCTTGTTGATATTTGGAGAAAACCCATGGACGACTCGATTGAACTCGACCAATCTCTTGCTTGGGTAACACAAATGCATGAGAAGATTCAGAGACTCGTGGAACTTACAACTTCTAGTAATATTGCGACTGTGACTAACAACTTGCCCTTAAAGTGGGTTGGTAGAAGAGGAAGAACATTTGTTGGTAAGCCTGGAGAAGGTACTCTTGCTCTTCCTCCTATCTCCAGAAATAGTGTAAAAAGAAAGATAGTTTCTAAGAAAAAGAATCGAAAACGAAAACGGCTAAGAACACTATTGAATAATCAAGCTACAGTTAGCTAGTTTGATGCATTTTATTAGTTGTGAAATTGGAATTATCTTCACCTTTCCATGTTTGTAAATTCTTCACTATTTACAGCACTAAGCTCTTTGTTGGCATGATATTCTTTTTACTTATTTGTTATACCTCCAATTTTCTTGTATATTGTATTTCAATTGTTTAAATTCTAAGATAAAGTCTTCTTTCGAAGATTCTCAAATTTCATTTTGTTGATTATTTCTACTTAGTGTTGCCGATTGCATAAATTTTGAGGGCATTACTCAAATAAATCTATTGAAAAGGTTCTTAAGGTTTAGATCCCTAACATTAATAGGGGTATGTCATTTAATAAAATGATTTAAATTCAGATATTGATGAGTTTCCTTTAAAGACTGTCAACTTAATGAAGGTGGTCAATTTTTCTATAGCTAAGTCGATAAATCTTTATCAATAGTGCAGAGATTGCTCTGAAACTGAATTCACCATAAAACAGTGCTTTACAACAGACATGAAGTATTATGTTGGTTAAGTATTTGATGGTATAGATGAATTATGTAAGTTTTTAGGCTGCTAAGTACATTTTTTGTTTAATGTTAAGTTTGCTGAAAACAATAAGTCTATTAATGCTTTGTCTTTGTGATACATATTGATGGACGTTGCATGTATCTGTTTTTTCAAGATGACATCACATTCCAAGGCATTGGTTAGTAAGTATGATTCTTTGGTTGATTAAGGCAATAAACAAATGTGCTCATCTAAAGAGATTGTTACTCAGAATCAAAGATGGTTGTATAGAATGGTGTTGAATGAGAATAGGTGGTAAGTTGGTGGATGAATAGGCTATGATAGGGAGGTGACTGAGAGCTAGAATATTTGTAAGGAAATAAATTATTGTTGGGATTTTGTTAGACCGGTCCATTTGATGGGTCCAGCCGGTCTGACAGGACCGGCTTACGCGAATAGAGGCGGATATTTCGGCCTCCTGTACGAGACGAACGCACACCCGGGCATGCATGAGCTATTTAGGAAGGATTTTTGAGGGAGTTAGGAGGGAAATTTGAATGTAGGGACTATTTAGGGATTTCTTTTTGATTTGTATGCATTAAATAGTTTGTTTTAGGGTTAGGGCATCTTGAATTTGGCTGAAATTTGAGATATCATAGGTTTCTTTGGGCTCTAGCGGCGTCTAGAGATTTGGGAGAGATGGATCCTCTCGAATAGAGGATCAATTGCATCTTGTTATTTTCTTCCATAGTTTGTTTTCTTGCAATAGAATTAATATTTTTCATTAGTTTTTTATTGGAATCATGGAGATTTCTCGCTGTTTTTGCTCTCTTGATAGGATTTACTTGAAATCTTCAAGTGTTTTTCTATCATATTTTGAGTAGAAAATAGTGGAGAGGAGGGGGATAAAGGAGATGAGATATAATGGTCTTCACAAAGGTCATCGTGGTTGGTTTGCAAACAGAGCCCTACACAGGGTCCTGGTCAAGGACGGGCTGGACACGAACTTCTCCTCGAAGATGTGCTGGATGATCTCCCTGAGGGTTTATCCACCATATTGAGTACCCACCCATACCCACCCATAAGTCTATGAGTATACCCATACCCACCCATATCCATTGGGTATGGGTGGATACGTGGGTGGGTGTGGGTGCCCAATTCTGGGCTCTGTTTGCAAACTAAGGCTAAATCATCAAATTCAGAAGAAAAAAAATTTTAATTTGTGGATGAATCGAAGTGTCTTTGTCATTCAATGCATTGCCTATTTATAATACTAATGTTAGTTTTAAAACTAAAAATATAAGAATGAAATTGAAAATACATTTATTTCCTACTTGAATAAGATTGTGTGTGGCTCCCATTTGAATTTGAATATCTCATTGTATTTGACTTGAATCAATTCTATTGGACCAAAAAGAACTATATTCAATAGAGTTGACTTCAATATAGTATTCCACCAGATCTGGTGCAACCTTTTGTAGTCCTTCCTTGCCAATCAATTGTCAATTGGGGATAATTTCTTATATCTTACTAAGAATTTATCTAGAGTATTTGCGTTTGTATTTGACTTGCCAATGAAAATTCCATCAATTTCATAGAATTTAGGTTGCGACGGTCTTTGTAGTTTTGAATTGAGTTCACCTAAGCCAACGTTACTCATCAATTTTCATGATATAGCCAAAGATCCTTCATATTAAAGATTGGATTTGTAACTCAGAATTAAAATGGAAAGAATTGTCTATTTATTGTTTTAAGAATTTATTAGAGCTTCTATAAATCATCAATATAAACAATAACTATCGAAAGAAACTAAAATCATATACATCAAGGCATTTGATTTGGCTAAAGGCTTTTGATGCACTAGGTTTCCAAGTGAATTTGTCATGTTTCAAAGCTTCAATGATTAGTGTTATATTGGACAACACAAGGACTAAGATGCTTTTGGAGTAAAACTTTATGAAGTAGCTTATCTATTTATTTCCTTAATTATGGTGCTCAGTGGGGTTTATTCTATATTATGGGAGATTAGATAATTGTGAATTTGGGATTTAGGCCTCGTTTGGGACAGCTTTTTTGCTGCTTCTCAAAGCAGCTTTTTAGTATAAAAATTAAAATTTTTGTATTAAAAAGTTGCTTTAAAAAACAATAAGAAAGCTGTGCCAAACGAATCCTTAGTGTATGAAATGTTGGATTTCTCTTATGGAAGGGAGCTTGTCCAATAATTCCTCTAGTGTTGATGAGGTTTGCATTAACATTTTTAGCTTGCTGAAGGCGTGAATCGATCAAATGTAATAATTCTCTTTTCATGCTCTTAAACTCTACTTTATCAACCTTGTATCCAAGAGTGGTCAAATCTACCTTATTTCACATGTGGTGAATAGTTAAGATTGGCTCTAGGATATAGTTCACTACATGTGACAACTAGATGCTTAATGCCTATAAATAGGTAAGATTAGCTCTAGGATATATAGTTCACTACATGTAGTCAATTAATTGTATGCTCTCTCAAGCATTGATCAATCACTATCAATTGGAGTTTAGCATTCTTGTTGTGATTGAGTTTCTTTTGATTTTAAAATTTGGCTTGTGAGTTGTGCTTGATGTAGGGTTCTCTAGTGGCATCAGAGGGAGAAATTTAATTCTTTTCTCTTTATGCTTGAACACATAAGAATTTTCTCTCTTGTAGAATACCATACTCATAAATCATGATCTACCTAATAAGATGTAGGCTATATCCATAAATACATTGCTATGAATATTAACTTTATAATTGTTAGGATTGGTTCAGTTTTAAGTTAAGTTGCTCTGCAAGACATCATATCGTTGTCAATGGCTATATATAGATGTTATATGTTGATGTATTGGTGGGGAAAATTAAATAAAATGTTAGCATTGTTTTCCTCCAAGTTATGCTCCCCCGGCTCTCTCTCTCTCTCTCTCTCTCTCTCTCTCTCTCTCTCTCTCTCTCTCTCTCTCAAGAATAGGAAGAATCTCCCCTCCTCAAGAATTCCCAAAAAATTGGTATTAGATCCTGGTGGAGGCAATCTCGAGTGGATGAAGGTTCTTATTCAAGAAAGGAATGAGGCAGCGGCCAGGCTACTGATGACGTGCGTCGGAGTAGGGACGCGGGACTTGCATGTCGCGCTGGGCCAAAAGGAGCGGAGGTTGTAAGGATCATATTGCTCGGGTTGTAGCGCGTGTAACAGAGCAGGGTTTGATGCAAGTTTGCAGCAGGGATATTGCTGGGCTTTGGGTGGAGTTTGGGCGGATGCACATAGGGTTGTGCAAGCGGGCAGTTCAGCTCCAGGCGATCGGGTGTGCGGGATTGAGCGGCAGGTTGATGCCGCGTAGGCGACACTAGGGTCAGGCTGATGGTTTCCTTGCGAAGATGCACTATAGATTGGTGGACGGGTTATGCACGTAGGCTGACAAAGTCCGGATAGTGAAAAATAAGAAGGGATTGTGGGAGTGCTTGGGGCTTAAGATAGACGGCTGACCTGGGCGTAATAATTGTGAAGGATTTTATCCTCTTATCTTGTAATTCTTGTTTCTCCTATTGCATTTGAATAAGATGCCAATGTATCTTGGCAAGAATTGATTGGCCCAAGCAATTATCTTCCACTTCTTAATCTTGGTTCTTGGTTCTTGTTTTTCTTGTGTCTTCTATACGTTACACTTCTTGGTCCAAGAAGAAGCAAAGCTACGGTTCAGACAAGGCTCTTTCACTTGGTATATGCATGAAGTCTAACAAAGAAAAAAAGGTTTTGTTGTTGTAACAAGTAGTGCAAGAGTCAATATCCTTCCTTCTAGATTTGTTGGAACGTGCATGGGTGCCTGGGGAAGATGGGCGAGCTGGATGGTGCTCATTGCTAGAGCTTAGGTATATCGTTTGGGAGCTGACGATGCACAAGGCATATACGTGTAGATCATGGGAGGAACAATGATGGGTGCAAGCACGCATGGGTTAGAATGCGTGTGATCGCAATTTGGGGCTGTGGATTGGAACGTATGATGGAGGCCGGACGTGAGCGGGATTGGGCTCGACTTGGCGGTTTGCTGACGGATTTAGTGCATGGAGTTGGTTAGATCGCAACAGGTGCGGATTCTTACGAACATGTGGTTCTTTGATATTCATTGTAAAATATGGAGTAAAGTGGAGATTGTTAGCAATGCCTACACATAGATGCTATATGTTGGCAATGCCTATACATATGTGAAATAGTGGAAACATGCCTATACATATGTGAAATAGTGGAAACCATTTTTGCTAATTTTTTTTTGGGACTTAAACTTTTGCAACTGCAAATATTTTAAGCTTTAATATGTTAGCACTTGCAAATCAAAATAATTCTACAAGAGAATAAATTTGGGTTTTGTATATTGTTAGTATTTTTTTGAGTTATGAGTGTAAGATATTTTGTGAACACTCTCTTATCAATTTGAGACTCATGTAAAGTTGGTTATTATTCATTTGTATTAAGTACATTTAGCCTAATTGGTGGTGGCAACTAGTTGGGTTGCATGCAAACCACTTAGAATTGCCTAATGATAAAGTTAATTGAAGCTAGTCTCATTTAAAAAGAAGCTTACTAATCCAAGTGTAATAAAAACTAAGAGAAAGATAAACTTATTCAAGTGGTGGTGCTCTAATCACCAACCACATATATTTGAAATACTCGTCAAATTGATTAAACTTTTATTTGGGAAACCAAGATTGAGACCTCCCCTCTTCCAATTTGAAGGATGTTATAGGAATTTGTTAGAGACTTCATCTTAATGTTTCCCCAAAGATTGTTGAGGAACCTTTTTCTCTAATAATAAAATGATGGAGCGGGTTGGGAGAGAAGTTATCAGGAGTTTGAAGATTTTCAAAGAGAGGAACATTGTTCATATTTTTTAGAAGAAAATAGAGTGGAGAGAAGAGAGGGATAAATGAGAATGAGAAATGATGAGCTTAACAACACCTACTGGTATTTTGGAAATCAAGGTTGTTTTGCGAACCAAACTTCAATTTTCAAGCTCACAAGCAAGAGAAAAAAAAATGTGGACAAAGAAAGGACTATTGTCATTCCATTTATCCACAATTTATAATATAAGATATTTGTTTTGAAATTTAAAAAGCATGAGTAAGATTAATGCTTCGTTTGGGGCAATTTTCTTACTATCTAAAGCATCTTTTTATTTTAAAATTTTTGTGCTAAAAATGATTTTAGATGGCATTAAGAAAGTCTCCTCAAACGAAATCTAAGTTGATATATATTTCTTTGATGAATAAAGCTTTGTGCAATCGCCATTTGAATTTAAATTCTTCCTTCAATTTATAATAATCTTCTCCTCTTTTTGCTAGTCATGTGTGAGTTTTTTAACACCCCACCGTTTGGTGCTTCATGAATGATAACTCTCCAATTGAATTTATTGTAACCTCCTTGAATACTTCTAATTAACCATTTTCATGAATGCTCCAAGCTTCTATTAAATCAACTAGCTTACATAATTAATGAAGTGCTTGCCTTAATTATATGATTACATAATCAATAGATTATATTATTTAATTTACTCATATTTGTGGTCTTATAATTGTTCTTGGAGCTTCATTAGATTGTCTTGCATCATGGTTAACAAAGAGTATGATGTTCATATTGATTGGAAGGATATATTCTACAAATGAAGGCAATAACTTTTGAGTGGAAGATTAATGATTCACTCTACATAAACGCATTTAAACATTTAGCATGAATCTAACGATCAAGAAGATGGGTGCCAAGTTTCAATGGTTGGCTAACATCAAACATTGATCATTAGTAGACATCGGGCAATATTCGATGGAAATGTAGACTCTAGGCAATATTAGGAGGCCAAATTTGTTATGCTCTTTATAGGAGGGGGAGATCAAATAACTGAGAATGTGTGAGTCAAATATTGGTGGTTCACGAACATTGATAATTGATCGTTAAGATGCATCAAGTGATGGTTAATAAGGAAAGCCAAAAAATTGGGCTATAATGAGTAGTCACATTAGTTATTCTTCTAATAAAATTGGAGATTAGGCAGCTGAGAAGATGGTCATCAAACATCGATTATTATCACTATTATGGGCATGTAGAGCATTAGGTCATAGTAGGCAATCAGGTTGTTAATTCTCTCGTTAAGAATAAAGATTGAGTAAATAAGAAGATGAGCGTTGGATGTTGACAATTCACATATATTGGATATGCGACCCAATTTTCCTAGGTGACTCATGTGCATCTCTTTAATGTTTAATAATAACAAATTTTATCTGATGTCATTTAATAGTTTGTTATATATATATATATATTTATTATTTTTAGTGGAAATGTTTATTTCCTATATATATATATATATATAGGTTAAGTATTTCGTAACAACCATCATGATGAAGAATCTTTCCACTAAGCTATGTTGGATATTGGTCACTTGCAGGCTTGGATCAAGCTTCTTTTTTTTAGGATGGATAAAATTTTAATTAATTAGACAACAATAATAATAATAACTTTAGTGAACTATTTTTAATGACTGCATTGATGATTCAAACCTCCTAGATTTTGATTTAGCTGTGTGCTATCGTCTTGTTCTTCATTGCCTCTTTAGTAGAGTAAGAATTAGGAATAATATTATAAAAATAAATAAATCATATTGCGTTCATATCTTTAGTTGAATGAATGAATATAAGGAAGCACTACTAGGCTTCATTTGAGACAGTTTTTTTATCGTTTCTTAAATCATCATTATTATACAAAAGTTTTAATTTTTTAACCAAAAAACTGCTTTAAGTAGGAAGAAAATTGTCTCAAACAAAGTCTTGGATGAATTTTGGTACTTTGCCATGCGTGATGAATTTAATCAATTTATTAACACAATAATATTTAACAAGGAGTATGATATATATAAAATAGACTTTTTCTTTTGGGACAACTTTCTCAATGCTTTGTAAAGCAATTTTCTAGTAAAAAAGATTAAAAAATTGCTTACATGTTATGCCAAATGAAGCCTAAATTACTTGCATTAATATCATGAGACTATGATGATCATATTGATCAAATTAATTTTCATTAATTTCTCATTTAGATATAATAAGACACATCAGCTACTAGAAATTTTAATGAAAAATTATGAAAAAAATCAATGCTAGATAGTGAGATTTAAAAAATAAACGAATAACATGTTATAAATTTTTAATTGAGCTGAAATAAAGTTGATAACGTGAAGAAATTAATAAATTTGAACAATATTTTTATGAGCGTCATACAAAATTGATAATATAATAAACAAAATCTTGCTTGAATCCAATAAAGCCATGTATATATGTTTAAGATAAATCTGGTGCTAAATATATATAAAAAAAATCTTTTTTTTTTTTTTTGTATAAAATAAAACCATCATGCTATATACAAGCCACTTAATGAATTGATTTATATGCTCATAAAATCATAGAATATGTACGCTCTAATGATGATTTTTTTTTAATATATTTTAAATATAAATAAAAAAATATTTTTGCAAAATAATTATTTTAGGATACGTGATGCAATTTTTTTTATTTTTACTTTGAGGCTGCTTGATTTGAATTACAATAGGTGAAAAATATTCCAACTGAAAGGATTTTGAGCTGCAGCTGTCCATCTGTCCATCGCCACTGCCATTTTCAACCGCTAAGAACGCCATTGCTGTAGGCGCTCACCTGTCATGGCTAACAACAACAACCACCACCATCATAGCTGCCCATCGCAACTGTCACCACCACCGTCACTATTAGCCCGCGCTTATTATCATGTTTTGGCCATTCCTCTACATTTATTTTACTTCAAGAAAAAAAAATTTAATTACCTACATTTATTATACACCCATCCAAAAAATTTTAAAACATTTCGAATATAATGCCATTCATTTTTCAATAAATCAAACAACCCCTATATGAAATAAAATGAAAGCATTAGGCTATGAAGAACCCAATACTATATAAAAAAATCTATATATTCACATACGGAAAGAATCAATCCAAAGAAAAAAAAAAGGAGAAGACAAAAACAAAATTAAATTTACATGTAAAAAGCTAACCTTCCAAATCCACCTAGAAATCTGCAGAGGACGAAAAATTAGCCGAAATTTTACCACAAAAAAAAAAAAAAAACATTTCTAGCAGAGGGTAGAAAATTCGGCTTCACTTTTTTTGTCCCATTTGGCTTTTCAAATTGTAATTTTTTCACCATTGTTATGATCGTGATGTCTGTTGTTGAGCAGATGTGCTCTAAGGCTGCATTCTTCCACCTGATTCATCAGACAGTATGAGAATATGTATAAGAAAAATGAGCAATTGACATTTAATTACTTCTATTTGTATCAATATCATAAAAAATCTCAAAGAGCGCAACAAATCTGTGTCACATTCTTTACTTATATTAAATTTTAAATGAGTTTATTATGGAAAACATAAAACATTAATTTATTAGTTTATATATATAGGATTTGACCGTTATGACTGTTATTTTCTCCAAAAGAAAAAGTTGAATATTCACATCTCAAATGAAAGAGCATTCACTAAGTAGAGATCCTAACTGATATTGTGATTTTAAGGATGAACGCTTGAAAGCCACTAACTTAATATGTTATTGGGAGGAACGAACGTGGAACATATAGCAAAAATTAATAAGAACATCATCAGTACAGCAACCATAATATTCAATTTCATATGAGCATGTAGATATGTATTTCCTCCAATTTCTTCCAATCTAATGTGATGTGTACTTTATGCAGGTAACTTTTTTTCACACACAATAAGAAAAAATTACCTGCATTGCTGCTGTTGCAGCTAATAATACTCTACATTCATCAAGCATTGCCTTTTCTTTTGCTGCTACTGCAGAAAGCTGCCAAAGAAGGCGTCTTGTACCCTCAGCCTGGCCAAGAAAGAACGTTCTATAAATCACAAATATCACCTAATCAAAAATGAATATTAAAGCCTCGGTTTTTATTAAAGATAAAAATTTATTATAAATATTTTATAAATTGAAACTAGGGCATAAAGTCAGTTATAAATTCATTCAATACAGAAAGGGGTATGATTATGTAATTGTAAATAAAAGATATTCAGTCAAAATGAAATTTTCAAGCAACAATCAACAAAGGAACAGTTCGAAAGTGAAATTTTGAACGTCATCTTATTAACTAGTCAACAATAAGCATACCACCTGTAATTTATGAAATAATAATTCAACTATATTAACCATATGCGGAGCTTTGAAAGTTGTCTCTGAATGAGTTTTCAACATATTGAATCCTGCGTTGACAATTTGAGATTGCTTTTTGTTGGGCACAAAATGAAAGAAAAGGAAACCCAAGCTTGCTCAAATCACTAAATCAAATACACAGAAATAGTATTTGACAGCACAAAAGCATAAATACAGCTTGTTATCTGGTTGGTGATTCTGTAAAATTAGTTCTTTAGAAACATAAAAGTTTGGAGGAAGATGGAGGATTATAGTTTCCTGAAAGGAATGCAATCTCTCAGATGAGCAGAGCAGGAAGGTTTGCAAAGCTTTACCATTATGCCGAGGAAAACAACTCAATAGGCAAGCCCGAATCATTGGGAAAACTTATTGTGATTTACTAGCTATCATTTCTCACTAAAGAGCAAGGAATTTTTTTTTTTTTTAACCTATATGTTGGAAAACTGAACTGAATTGAGATTTCGGGAACACCAACTGAGGTATTGAGAGCAATTGGGTTGGAAATCTTCAATAAAAAGCAATCATAGAGCCATTTCATACATATCATTTATGATATCCACTGTTAAGTAATTGTGAAGAAAGCTTATACAGAATAAAATACTTCTACATAAATTCGTAAAACATAATTGGCAATAGTGGCCTTTTGATGATTCAAGTCCTCCAGATGGCCATCATATATTCAATGCTTGCACCCAGATCTGGTACATAATTTTTTTCTTATTTAATCATGATGCCATGCTTACAAATATCTGATGTGGTAGTTAAATATATCTTATAGCAGAAAATGCGAAATTAACCCTTGCTTCTAGTGATCCTAATTAAATGGAATGATAATAGGACACGCTGCAGCTAAGATCACCATTCCATGCCGCATCCAATTCCCACCCCTCTTCCATCTCCTCTTCAACCCTACCACTTAATTCTTCTTTCAAAACATCATCCTACAAAAGGTTAAAACCTTCTGACAACCAGTATTCAGCATAGCAAAAGTTGACTTTTTGGTATGAAAGCATTGTACCTGAATTCTGGAATCTAATTTTCATGTTTACTTGCATGGAGCAGAGATTCTAAGCACAATTCTAACATTTGTTTTGATTGAAAATTATGAAAGGTTCTCACATCATGGAACAAGCCTTTGTGATATCTGTATAGCAAAAAACCTAGAATCCCTTAAGATATCTGAAGCCGATTCTTGAATCAACTTCTCATAATCTTGTTTTCCAATTTCTGTTCGAAAATCAAGCACTAATGTTTGGTTTTAAATTCACAATGCATAATATAATTTAAAATATCATCCAAACAAAGAAACAGTCCATTCAGTGGTGGAACTATCTTTGATTTTGTAGGAAATCCCATGACTAGTGACGCCTTAAATTTCATATATTAAGGCCTAAGAGACTAAGCAGAAGAAGAGCATTTATGATTTTGCTGGAACAGATGCATCATCATGAAAAAGAAACGCATCACTGGTATAATTTGTAGAATAACAGACAAGATCTTACCCTAGATAGCAAACTACAAACAGAAGAACCCATTGCTTGCATAATGTCAATAGCTGAGCTGACAGCATTTTTAACAGCTCTTAAATCAACCTGTAGAACCAAGAGCACACACAAAATTATAGCATTAACTAAAACAAAGAATAACATATACACAGCATATTCCACAAACTACAAGTTCTTCTATAATGGCATACCCTTGCCCCACTGGTAACTGGTAGTCGAAGCATGCTTGCTTTAAGAGCTTCAATTGTCCCAAATAAAGAGTTAGAATATTCTCCTTCCAGTGCAATCCAATCCTCAAGGGATGTTACCTGAATAATTAAGGAATTTGATACAAGAAACAATTAAATGTTATAAGATTGCATCAAACATGTGCTTATTCAATGCTTTCTTAACAAAATCCGATAAAATTCATATGATTGTTTTTTTTTCTTTTTTGCGGATATTTGAACCACTCGCCATTTTGTAAGAGAGCCAAAAAAATGCCACAATAGCTATTTGATGGCAGGCTGTCAACAAATTTCGAAGTACTTGAGTAATTATTCATTATTCATATTTCAGCATTAAAGTGTCAAGTTGCTATGCCAATTTTATTATATTATTCAAGTTCTATGCTATTTTGTTCTTGATTAGCTTTATGTTTAATGTTAGTGATTATGTATCATTTCTTCAAGACTAGTTTGATTTTTCCTATTCTTTTCTTAGGACAATTTTCTAATAAGGCCTGTTATTAAACATATTATCTAAGATATTGTAATTCAGATGGTTGATCATTCAGTGAAAGTTTCATGTTGTTTTTTCTTTATTGTATGCTTTGATGGCTCCTCCCTTCTAGTTTGTCTAGCGGGCAACCTCAAGTCGAGCAGTTAGAACGCCTTATACTATGTGCCAACACCAATATTATTTTTCCACTGAATTCTAACTCATTCTCCACCGTAGTTGCATTGAATGGTGTTAGTTTTAGATGATATGTGCTCGGTTCTACTCAACTTCATTTCTGCCAACAATAACTTATTTTTCTCACACTCCAAACTCATAACCCTAACCCACATTTAATAAAGTATCATGGATTTTTAATCATGACTAAATATCAATGGGCTATGTTATTACATTAAAAAATGAGCATAATTCATTTGAAGTATTTAATTGCATGAAAGAATTTTTACATCTCAGTTTTATGCACATTTGGAGCATTTAAAAATTTGAACTAAATAAAGTAAATGAACATGAAAGTTATAGGGAATTGAGCCAGTTAACCATAGCATCCAAATTTTAACAGTTTTGACAAAAAAACTAAGAAAGTTATACTCTATATACAAAGAGATGATCATTCAATCAGAATTTAGAGGATTTGATTAAATTGTTAAATAAAATTATATAAGTTTAATTATACTTTAAGTGCTAATGGTGCTTATTGGGTTAGTTACATCTATTAATGCATATAATGAGGATTAATTAATCCTGATTTGATTGTTAGAGGATAACCACAACATGAGATTTTAAGGATCGAATATAAGCTTTCCATGTATCCACCTTCCAGTAAGTTGGAGAGAGTTGTTACGATAAGAATGCTTTGGGCTTCTATTTCCTTCATCCTCAGGTAATTTTGAGTTGGAAAAATGTGTTAGAGCTTGTAGAAGAAAAGGAGAAGGCTTTGGAGGCTTGTGAAACAATTGGAGAAAACATTTCTTAATAGATTTTCACATTCTTGAGGTAGGAACCTTTGCCCTAACCTGGGAAGCAAGGATTTCTTTCTATTGCAAGTGTTACAGATTTGAATGTACTCATATGATATGATAATGTTTGACAACATGATGATGATGTAAACATAGTTCTTTATATTAAATTCTACATGATTATATCAAGCTTATGTTAAACTTTGAATATGAATACACATCGATATATGAAACCCTAAATGTAACCATGATTCCTTACAATGTTGTAAAACTCATGATTACATGAACATGAGACTTATAAAGTTATGATGAACATGTGAATATAAACTTCATAGCGTTACAAAAAGTGATAAAGCTATGATTTATATGATGATATGCTTCCCTGGACATGATACAATACATGTAATGCAAATGAGTTTCTATGAAAGTATGATGCAATTTGAAACCTGCAAGTGATTCTATATAATATTACATAAGGATTTGCATATGCTACAAGTACATACATAAAGTTATATTAATAATGTATATTGTATATGATATATTATTATGAATATGTCAAAATTCTACATGTTGAATGATTATTAGAGTTTGTGATATGTATATATGAATAATGACTAATTAACATGAAAGAATGCAATGCAATGCCAAGATTTCATCAAATGGAAAGGATGCCTACTATAGATATGAACGATCCAAAAACTGGCAGAACAAGGATTACTTCTGCAGGATAGGAACCCTAATGTGCATGTCTTAGATGATTATAAGGGAATGCATGCAGTCGGCTCAATGATTTGATTTATAAGTGAGATAATTATTAGTACCACACATATGAGATCCGATTGATAAATATATATGATATTTGATCAGCTAGCTGACAGCTCTAACATAATACATGTGCTGTGAATAATGTTATTTAGGAAAATACAATGAGAAGGTGAAATAATGATCTAATTATGTTTTGATCTAGTGTATTTGTGTATAAGTTTTGCTGTATCGTTTTAAAGGAAATAAGGTACTGGACATGTTAAAAAAGATTATGATGTATAGTGACTTGAGAAGGTAAGGCTTTGATGTTTATGAAATGAAAAGTAAATACTAGGTTTCTTTTATATAAATGTTATTAGAAAGATAGTGGCACCATGAATTGATATAAAATTTGATGATATGGATTGTTTGGAAAAGAATTACGAGATTATGGTTTGAGAGAATTATTTCTCTCTTTATATAACCTGCCTTAGCATGAACTACTCCAACGTAGAAGCTATGTTAGATAGGAAGTGCACAAATAACATCAAGTCTAATTTTTTCTATAACCAACTAGCCTCCCTCACACCTAATTCAATCCATTTGAGTTACCAATTCCTAACTTGACACAATCAATCCAAGCAAACCCAATCAGGTTCAACATAAACCAGCTAATCCAACTCAATCGACCCAACCTTGAATGTTCCCTACTCAGTCTAAACATACGACCAAATGAAAAAAAAAAAAAAAAAGGAAAAAGAAATAAGTTCTTTCAGGAAAATGTTGTTAAAATCATTAATCAATTGTACAATTCACTAGAAGACTACAAGAGACTCTTAATAAATGTTATAAGGCGTTAGTACATCCTCTAGAAGCATTTTAAATCTTTGTAGTAAAGTTATTAACAACCTAGGGAATTGACAATAAATCATTAACATAAGTTCAAAGGACTTGCAATTAATAAGACCATATGTCATAATAATAGTGTCAAATTGATGTATTATGTTCATTTTATATGTTATGCTTACTATTTTGTCCATGGTTGCATTTTGTTAATTTTTAGTGATTAATATGGCACTCTCCATTAAACACTAGTTGTATTTCCTAATTTTTCTTCCGGTAATTATGGCATTTGAAATAAAGCCTATCATAATACATAATGCCTAGGTCTTGTCATTTAGATGTTTGAACATTCAATGAGTTTTCTATTTCTTATTATCAGTTTGATGAGTCCTTCCTAGTTTGTGTTACGTGAAAGCCCTAAGTTGTGTAGGTAACCCTAGCTTGTGTATTGGGGAACCCAAGGTTGTGTACGGGAAACTTCCAATACATGTTCAGGCTAATTTTATCTTTTTATTTTGTTATACATCAAGCATCAGTCAAATGGAGAGAGGCCAGGCACACCCTTTTAAATCTTAAGCATTGATTTAGAGAAACAAATAAAGACATTACCTGTTCTTTAAGAAGCATCTCCAACTTCATTTCTTGCTTGAGGCTTTCAATGCTGATCTTTTCCTTGGTTACAGAATCTTGCAGCTTAGAGGTAGCATTCCACACATTTTTACATATGTTCTGTTCTTCATTATCAAGAATCAGAGGATCGTTTTATCAATTCGGATAACAAGAGAAATATCATGAAAGTTATTATACAAAAGTCATGAAAGTAACATCCTAGGAAAGCTTCAAATAAAGGATGTATATATAAAGCTATGCTTATTCACAAGCCAAATTCATTTTTATAACAACTCAGCATTAGTTATGACATTAGAATGAATGTCCTTTTTTTAATGGTTATATGCCAATTTCCATCTTGAACTGTCAAGTTAACAACTATCAGCTACATATATGCATGCCATAATTCTTGCTATGGAATCTTTTGAATCAATTTACCTCTGCTGCTATTTTCTGGGTGGCTAAGGCAACTTCAGCCTGGCAATTAACGAAGCGCCATTGCAGTTCCCTGTTATGCAGCAATCGAAGTTGATGGATATCTTCCATATCAGCACCTTTTGTCCCTTTTCTTTTATCTAAAATATGGCCAAGTACCCTGGATGAAGAACCTATTTGATTCATTGTGTTATTAGATGAAATAAATGGAGATGATGGCCTTGAGCTTGATGGACTCGGTATTCTTTTAGGGGCAGATGATGATAGCATTGAAGCATTATTAGGTGAAGAGGGGCGACACAAGGTAACTGCAGGCAATGATAAAGTCCTACTTGGGTTTGTGGAAGGAAGGGCTTTTTCTTCTTCTACATGAGGTGAAGTCACATTTACAGTTCTATTCGATGATTTATGGATGCTTTTACTGATACCATCAGTTACTGGAATATTCCTAGTTGGTGAAAGTCCTCGTGATTGAAGCATTAAAGAAGCAGCTTTTTCAATTCTATCAGTCAAGTTCATGCTCCTAGAGAACGCCATTGTAGACACCTTCCCACCCTTCATAGCTGGCCATCTATGTTGCGCAAGGCTAGAATTTTCTGATTGTTCAGATGTGTTCCTCCCTGTTAGTGGAATCCTCTTCCTCTCAGAAGCAGCTTTAGTTGCATTCTTCAATGTATGATCTAAGGAAGTACTCCTAATTTGTCTATCCTTCCTGCTAACACAACCAAAAGATTCAGACTGGAAAGAAGAAGACAAGCTCTTCATTGATGGCCACAGTCCATCAGTTGCACGTCCACCAAATGCTCTTCTTGAAGGAATTTGTTTCTCTACAGTACCATCACACACAGAGGATGGTGGTGTGGAAGGCCTTGAATTAGGTGGTGAAGGCAAAGTGGGTCTTCGTAATGGAGATGAAGGGGCCGAAGAAGACTTTGTTGAATTGGTATTGGGCCTCTTCCTATCTGCTGATTGAGCACGCATAGGAACTGATGCGTCTACTATGGCAGATTTCCTAACCAAAGATGGAGAAGAAGAACGAACGGTAGCTGAATGTACAGTCTCAGACCTTGATTTTGAAGCTTGCCTATTCTTGATTTTTGGAATATCAGCATTTTGTTTCTTTATTTTGACCGGATTTGCCTTACAAACATCTTCTCCTGTGCACAATTTTTGCTTCACTATAACTTTGGATGCTTATCGTTGAATAAATCCATGAACAAAATGCTTGAAATTAGAACATATTCACAACTCTTTCATATAACTGCCAAGCTATAGCAATGGCAACAAAATTACTACCTGCATTTGAAGAGCATACAAAATCAAGATAACTGAAAATGTAAAAGGAAAAAAAAAACAAGATAAATTAAATGTAATCCTACAAATTGAGAAGCTCAAACAAATCCTTTGGGCTGTTTAGCAACAAGATTTATGCAGGATTGCTAAATCCTGCCAAATGGGACTTGAGCAGCCGGTTAATCTCACGGCGGAATAAATCCTCCGTTTCCCTCTTCTTGCCGTAAATCCCGGAGTTCGACGGATTGAAGGGATTTGGCTGAAGAAGCGCGCTAAAGGGAGAAAGATGGTTACCTTCGCAACGAGCAAGCTCCCGCCGCTACTTCCGATCGCCGAACTGTCGCGAAATCCGACTCGACAGGAAGGAATGTCATCGAAGTAGGCGAAGAAGCCCTTTAGCGATTCGTTCAAAACCCTACCACACGCGAATTCGAACGGCGACGAAGCAGAGAAAAATAATCCGTAAAAATTACTTAGGCTATCGAAAGAGAAGAAGTTGCTCGTCCTCCCACCTATTTTCAGGCTTTTGCGGAAAATAAAAACGTATTCTCTTCCTTTATTCAATGTCAGTTGAGGACAATGCGATGGTTCGTTTGGAATGATTTTTTAAAATAATTTTTATATTAAAAAATTATTATAAAAATAATAAAAAAATTAACTCAAATGAAAGCTATTTAAAATCTAAATCTATATAAATATTAAAATATTTTAAATTTTATTATTAAATTTTGAATTGATGATTATAAAAATAATTTTATTATTTATTAGCCAAATCAGCTTGTATGTATAATTATGTTTAAGCTTCATTTCAATATGCATTTAAATATTCAAGAGAAATTTGATTACAAGTATTTACAATTTAAAAAAATTTAAAATAAATTGTATAAAAATTTTAAAAGTTTATTTTTTTATTTAAACTAATTAAACAAATTAATATGGATAATCGCTTCCCTACGGGTCTCTGATAATTATCGTTTGATTATGATTCTTTATAACATCATCGCCTAGTCATTGCTCGTCGTCTAATTACAAAAACTATGAATTTTCGACCACTGCCACTAAAGGGCATAAACTAATTGTGTAAGTATTTAACCGAAAAAGTATTAAAAAGTTCTCTTTTAGTTTTTATTAAAAATTAATCATTCAAAAAAATAAGATGAATTATGATATTTACGTAAAGGTGATTGACTATTTTTTAGGTGATATGTAAAAATATATTGTCGATTCGATAATTATTTTCTTAGACATCCATAAAAAGATAATGATATAAAAATCAATATATATTTTCTTATAATTTAGCACAAAAATATTTTTTTCTCATAATTTAGTAAAAAAATTAAACTAATTAGTTAATTAATTATAATAAAAGTTAATAATTACTTGAAGTTCATATATATTTTAACAAAAATTATAATAAAATTTATGTTACATATAAATTTAGTATAAAATCTTAATTCCTTATAATTACTCTAAAACCCCTGATGGGAACATAAATAACAAAAGCTATTTTTTTTAAGAAATTTGACCAAAATTCTTGAGTTTTAATTTAGAAAAAAACATATCAAACTTACACCTAAACCCAAAAAATTGATAAATGTATAAATTTAAAATATATTTAATTTCAAGCTTGCTTAGATTTTCAAAAACATAAAAAAAAAACCCAAATCTAATATAATTCTACATATGATATAATAAAAAAATTATGATAATAAGTATTATATATATTTTTAATAAATATTAAATAGCAATTCTAATATAATAACTCTGATATTTTTTATATTTAATTGTGACCATATGAAAAAAAATTAAAATAAAATTAATAAATTTGTAAGCAAAACGTGACTCATATAAAATATATAATCGAATTCTCCTAGTTTACCAAGTGTGAGAACGTACCCTATAGATAGTCAGAGAAATCCTAGCCACCTTTCGTTTTCCCTCTGGATTCCCTAGCTACCTTTCTTGCCTTCAACTCTGCTGGAGGCACCCTCATATCCTCATAGTGAATGAAATCACCCCCTCCTTAGTCCTTATAATAAGCAGCTAGCCCCTTCTCTCCACAAGATGTGTTATATAGAGCCTTTTTCACAAATGACTTTCCCCTCGATCCTCCAATACCAAACCCTACTTCTTCCTCTATTTCTCCTAACCTGCTTCAGAGCCCCTAACCTTCTTCCTTTCGTAACTGGAAATGTATTTTGACCTCTAAAACCCTACTTCCTCATCTTTCTATGTCAAATATGTCCAGCCATCCGACAACATCACTCACATCTCTGAGCACAAGGTTGAAGAAGGTGCTATGGAGTGGAATTTATCACTGGTTGGGTATGTTATTAGACATCGTCCTCACTATGAAGCACTTCTTAGAGCCATTAAAAAAACCCGGTAGCTTAAGGGAAGTCTCTCTCTCCTCTCCCTTAATGATGGTTTCTTTTTGTTTAAGTTTTCTTCTCCAAATGTTTTTGAAATGGTTTGGTCAAGAAGAACATGGTTATTTTTTCAGAAATGCTTTCATTTTTAATAAGTGGTACGTGTACTTTGTTCCTAAGAAAGATAAGTTTGATTCTTTGCCCATTTTGATAAAAATCCATAACTTATTTCTGGCTTGCTAGAACCCGACTAGTATTTCTAAAATATGAAGCCTTGCTGGTATACCACTTGCAGTTGATAGTCTAACCATTAAAAAAAAAACAAGACTCATGTTTGTAAGAGTTTGTGTTCAAATTGACAAATAATCAAAGCTCGCTAATGAGATAACAGTTAATATAGCTGGAAATATGCATAACTTGAGAGTTTAGTATGATTGAAACCCCCTCCCTTACCCTGGATGTGAATCCCTTAACCACCCACATTCTCTTTGTCCAACCATGCAATAAAAATCATCTTCTTCATAACCCCCCCCACCCCACCCCTCAAAAGACAGAAGCAGGAGTCGAAAGACGCATAATCATTCAACTAAGCAACCTCCTGATCCATCCATATATGTAAACCTTCTAAAGCCCCCTAATACTACCGATCCATCCACCTCCATCATGTAAGACCTATTTCTATTGAAAGTTTAAAAAAGCAGGTTTTGAAAAGGTTAATCTTCTTTGGGAAATTTAATTTTGAAATTTTAATCTCAAGATCAAACACATCATTATGAACAGTATATTGCCCCGAGAGGCAAAGACATCGTTCTCTAATGGGTTTAGATAGTGAATTTAAAGATTTCACTTGGGCCATAATAGTCAGATATGATTGAGGGAAGAATTACATTTAATCCCTAAGGGTCAACATGAAGTTCTATCGAGTATGTAACTATGATAGTCTGGATAAGAGATCATTAGTTTCATATTTAAAGTCTTGATAAGAAAGGATATATCTTCCCAAGGGAATAAAATGTCATTTACTAATCAATCGTTTGAATAAGACGATAATAATCATTTTCAATTTTTTTTCCCAAAGAATACTAGTTGAGTTTTACAATCAATTTTGAAAAAGTGGATGTGGGCTCTAAATCTCCTATGAGCGCAAGCCCTCATAGTTAATTGCATCGTAGGGAGGTTAAATTTTCTATGAATACTCTCGATTAAAATAACGGTAGAAATTTCATTTAAGGAATTTTTTAAGAATGATATCAAAGGATGTGAATTAGAAAATTGAATTGAGAATGGATCAAGATGGAAGATTTATTTCTAGAGTCAATGGATGAGACTTTGAGATTTTAAAATAATGCAGAAGTGTTCCAATCTAATCTAAGTGTTGAGCTTTAAAGTTAAGTTTGAGAGGATTTTTAATTTGAGTTAAGTCATTTATTAGAAATTTATGATTATATTCCAAAAGTTTAAGGTCTTAAGCTCTGAACCTGACTCGGAACCTAAATCTAAATTGACACTAGACAATAGTGGTCCGAATATAACTAATGCAATCTAGACTTACCACAACTTGGATTGGGAAGCCAGCTAATCACATAGGCGATTTAAAATCATGAGTCCGATCTTTATATGAAAGAGTGATAGGGATGTTATTAATTAGAGTTTTGAGGAGTTCGGCCTGACATCTACAGCATATCCTAATTGAACCCTTAACTTATATAGGGTGAAATTTTTTGAATCAAATGCAATTAAAATTTAGACTCTTTTAGATTGGTTTCTAATATAATGCATGCTGATCGACATGATGAAATGTATAAATTAAGATGTAGCAATTTTTTAAAAAGGCTTAAAAAAATATTTTTCCCTAGAGATTGCACAACATCCCCTTGATAGATCTGCACTCTCACAAGTCAGATGATCAACGAGAACCATAGGTGGGGAGGTGACTAATATGGAGGAAAAATTAAAAATATTATTATGCGGACTTTCGATGGTCCCGATCATACTTCTTAAATTGTTAGAGTTTTTATGTTATCCTAAAAAATTTTATTTAGATTTAAGTAGAAAGAATTTTTTATATGTACCCTCATGAGCTTCCGATAAGACTCCAGGCTAAAACAAAACACGACATGCAAATCACTAAAAAATTAAAAAAAAGTATATGTTTCATAATCGCAATGTAACTCTCAACCTCCTATCACCATTTTTGTAGCTCCCAATGGAAGCTCATCTTCTAATTTAAACAATCCTTTCTCAAACCATGCTACTCCAAATGAACCACCTACCACCAACCTTCTTCTCAACAAGTTCTCAAACTTGGTGTATGGTCTAGAAGATTTCTCTAATGCCTCTCCAAAAATTCATAATCAACTACATAAAGTTATCTAAGACTCTAAAACCTCCAACGCCCCCTCATCTAAACCTAATGGCATTCCCATTGGAAAAAATTTCCCTCCTCATCCCCTAAATCAAAATGACCAGTATTAATTTTGCTTCTTAAAATGTGCGAGGTTTTCATGGTTTGGATAGGGGGGCACGTAAGAGCCTTGTTAAATCCTACTACCTTTATGTCGTCTCCATTCTTGATGCTAAAGTTAGTCCTAATATATTATCTAATAAATAATTTTTTGCTTATCATGTCCTCTTTCCCTCTGAAGGAAGTTGTAATTATTTCCATTTATCCAAGCCGGATCGTATTTGGATTAAATGGAATTCTATCAAAATATCTTTTTATTGACTCTTTTATAAGCTCCCAAATCATTAATGGTCGAGTAGAAAATGAATTATAATCTGCATTTTGATGTATTTGTGGTGTATGCTTATAATACTCCTTTTGATAGTAGCTCTTTATGGTCTGATCTGAACCAAACTAGTTCTAATATCTTAACTTAATTCTAGTTTTTCTTGGGCTATTATGGGAGATTTAAACTGTTATAAAATGCATAAAGATAAGATTGGTAGTGTGCCCCTTCCCATATTGAAACTTTGGGAGCTTAATAATATGGTCTTTGATAATGGTTTGCTTGACCTAGCTTCCATTGATCGACTTGAGAATCCTGTCCATATTAAATTGGACAAGATTTTTTTTTATTGATAATTGGTTGCAAAGGTTCCCTTCTTCTAATTTCAAGGTGAATTTTCCATCAGGCCATCACAATTTCGCACGACTGATGACTCACACCGACCAAATTAGGGCAAAATGAAAGAACTAATCCTCCATAAAAAATAAAGAAATCTAAAATAGATATCGAAACAACCGACCACCATCAAACCAACACTTCAAATAATTAAGAGTTATTCAAGATATTACCAACCGTTGCAAGTCGCAACTGAGAAATGGAGAAAGGAAGAGGATTCAAGGAGGAATTTCGAAGCCAGATGTTTCAGAAGATCATAAGAAGATATCAAGAAGTGAAGAAACCTCCATCAGCTCCTCCACGATTCCACGCCTCCACGCCATCCACGGCTCCACCCCAATGCCAGAGCGTAAGAGCGAGGAGAAAGCGAGAAATGAAACCCTAGAACCCTCTCGACTCTCGAAGTCTCGAACAGTCGACTCGCCTCGTGGGCTCGGCTGCACATTTTATTAAAACGAGTGCTTCGCGGGTTATTCGGGTCGACCCGCGGGTTGACGGGTTGACCCGAACCCGACCCGAATATATAAATGGGTCAAATCCATAAACCCGGACCCGGCCCATTTCTTTCACGGGTTGACTCGAACCCGGATTTCTCGGGTCGGTTCGCGTCGGGTTAGCGGGTCGTGTCAGGAATTGACAGCCCTATGTGTAGGTTATAATCTTCCTCTATAACATGGGTGAAGACTATCTTGAAGGATTCTAAAGACTATCAATATTTGGTAAAGGCCAGTCTTCTGATGTAGGCAACTACAAGTGTATCAATAGTGGCAGTTAAGCAATGGGCTAATGATGGTAGTTAGGAAGTAAAGGGGCTGATGGAGGTCGAGAGATAACAAGCCAAAACTAGCAGTTGGGTGAAGGGCCAATAATGATGGTGGTTAGGTTATACTCTACTGAAGGAAGTAAGCATCCATGTTGACATGGGTTGATAGCGAACAACCCAACTGAGGGGGTTAGGTGGTGTGCCAATAGTAACAATCTAGCATCACAATAATGATGCCAATTAAGTAAAGGCTTGATGGTGAAAATGGCTCTGATCTTTTCTAGAAGAAGAAATTGAAGGAGATACTTCAAAGTGTCATATAAAAAAGGTCATGAGAAATCCATCTAAGATGTTTGACCTATCCAAAGTTGTTTGCCAAAGTATTACTTAAAGGTATTAACCGGTCAAGATAAATCTACTGTGAATGTTTGAGATATCAAATATTATTTATCAGAGGGTTACTCAATGATGTTAATCTTTATAAAAGAGATCGAGAGAAATCCATCAAGGATGTTTGACTTATCCAAAATTGTTTATCAAAATATTACTCAATAGTGTTAACATGTATGGAAGAGATCGAGGGAATCCACTAAGAATGTTTGACCTATCTGAGGTTATTTGTCAGAGCATTGATCAATGATGTTAACATGTATGGAAGAGATCGACATAAATCCACCAAGGATGCTTGACATAACCAAGGTTATTTTCCAATGTTGCTTGATGACATTAACCTATATCAAAGAGGTCGGGAGAGATTTATAATTAAGTTTTATTTGACCTAGCCGTGTTATTTGTTAAAATATTGCTTGATGACATTAATTTATATGGAAGAGGTATAGATAAGTCCATTAAGTATGTTTGACCTATCTGAGATTATTTGCTAAAGTGTTGGTTGATGGCATTAACCTATATGGAAGAGGTTGAGGGAATTCATTAAAGATGTTTGATATATTCGAGATTGTTTATTAGAGCATTGCTCAATAAAACTAACTTGTGTGCAAGGAGATTAAATCAAATACCCTTGGACCGATTATACCTTGATTTGGAGGGAGTGAATGCTACGTGCATCCCAAATTGAAGGTGAATATTAGTTTATCTTTAAACTATTACTGTCTTTTTGAGACCGGGATTATGATCTTGCCCAATGAGTAGAAGTCCAACAAGGGACTGAATATAGTTTAGGGTTCACTTGAAATCTTCTTGTATTGGTCAGAAGCTTTACTAATAAAATTATTTTTTTGACAAGTAACAAATCAGAGGGATTTTCTTGACCATAATTATATTCGAGATTGTAGCCAATGTCCCCCCCCCCAATCTAAATCTAGTTTCCATGAAATTAATGCAATAATGACTGATGGTCGAGAGGTGATAAAATAATGCTTGCTTGCCATTGCAATGAAGATGCACTCAATATTGAACTAAACTATTAAACAAAATCAAACGATAACGCCGAGAATCTTCACTATAACAACAGGAAACACACTTTTCTAGATCGTTGTATCATTAAAAACTAAAATCTTTCAATAAAGAATAGAACTAACCTATGCTCGTGTCCTTGGGAAGCCCGCCGATGAAGATCTTCCTGTATGCCAAAAGAAGAAAATATTAGAGGACGAAGACAGATCTAACAGAAAATAACTAAAAAAACATGTAATAGGAGAAGACATCTCACCCGGGGCTTGCACCATCGTGCTCCGAGTTCTTGGGATCGTCCTTCCTGGAAGCCATGAGATCCTCCTGAACAAGACCGCAAGGGTTACGCTTCTGGGAGGCGCACAACGAAGACTAGGATTTTGAGTCACAGATAATGAAGGGGTATTTATAGGGGCCTCGGCCTAAATATGCTCCGTCGGTTTTTCTGGAGAGGTAAATATTTAGCGATCTGGAAGCTTCCTCTCGCTCCTTTACCTTCAATCTGCTGGACCGTTCAAAAAATTGAACAACTTTCTTATGGCTACAAAAAATTAACATACCTTGTTATAAAAATCCCTTTCGCAACATAAAAATTTAAAAATAAAAAATAAAAAAAAAATTATAGCAAGAAAAGTGTGGTAATAATGTGTATAATAATAAAGCTATAAAAAGATTATTTCAAATGCACCCTAATTACTAAGGATTTATTTGAATCTATCGTTATAAAGAGATAAGTATATTTTTTTAGAATTTTTGTCACTGTTTTTTTTTTTTTAATTCTTTTATTTTTTTTTAGGGGATATTACTCTTTAGGATT